CACACACACACACACACACACACACACACAGAAATACACAACTGTACATTCACCCACTCACACACAGAATAGATGATACCACTCAGGTAGCACTTGCTTCATAGCTCCCAGAAACTTAGCATTCTTCTCTGGTTTTTCAGTGCTTTTAATGTGTTGTTTAGTATATTTTATTTTCCCCCCTGCTATTTTAGTAGAGGTGTTTGGGATTGATGAGACTAAAATGTTCTGCAGTCCTCTATCTAGAACCAAAAGCCTATATTGCTTCTAACAAGCGTGTACGTATTTATGCAATGCATTTCCTCAGGCTGTTTTTGACATGAGCCATTCATTAAAATGCCATCTGTAATTTTTGTTTCCCCTCAGGCTTATATTCAGAAAGTAGAGACAGTTGATATGATTGAACTGGGACAGAGACTGGTGGATTCTAAAAACTGCCTCGCCTTCCTCATTGAGTGTAGCAACTTTTCCCCGGCAGACATCCGGCTCAATAATAATGTTTTCCAGTGGTATGGAAGAATGGAAGAAATTTTCGATGAACACAAGAAAATCATGAAAGAGAAAACAGAACAATATCAAGACGGTCTTAAGGTTGGCACCATAGATATTTTAAATGATTTTCCTTTTCTGGACATGTGTAAGTTTTATCTTCTTACATAGCATTGTAACTCCTCCATTTCACAGGACATAGATTTTTAGCTTTCTCATACTATAAATCTTAGTAGAAGATAGTACACACTATACTGGCTCAATGTGGCATCGTTTTTTTATTTTTCAAGGGAGAAAACATTTGAATATATTGCCCACATATGGCCATGAGTGAAAATAGCATTTATCTTATATAGTTTAGAGTGCCCTTTTGAGTTATTTTATTTTTATCATTTAATGTCAACGCTCCCTTTCACACCTTATGATTGCTCAAGCTCCCCTAAGTCCTGGGCCTAGAATCATCACTCGTAACATTTAAGTAACCTTTTTTTTTTTGGTCTTACATATAAGATGGTTTGTAATTTTCCCCTCTCTACCTGTCCAGCCTCATCTACCTCTCCGCACTCCTTGTTCTTGACTTTTCAGTAACCCTAAGCAACCCTGAAGTCCCTGCTCTCCCACGCCTCCCACCTCTTGTATTTCTTTCTGTTCGCTCTAGAGGACACTCCTGCACGAACACGTGCTTGTCTATGTAGCACACTTGGCTGGCTTCTGAGAGGCCATCAGAGACCTTGGAGGTGCTTCTCCTCCGCTCCTGTTGCACTTTTCATGCATTTCCACTGGACTAATTGTCTGAACATTTTGTTATTATTTTCAGGTCTCTCTGCCCATTAGACAGTTAGCTCCTTGACAGCAGAGTTGTTTGATTTTGACCTGTTTTCCATTTATATTTCACTGGCCAGCACAGGGCCTGACGCACAGGAATGTTGTGAGCATTCCATAGCTGTTGTCTGAATAACTAACTTAGTATTTTCAGTCTCATTTTACAAATGAAAACAAAAAAACAAAGTTTCCCCAAGTGAAGAGGCTCGCTCCAGGTCAGCCAGTAGAGATGTCCTTTGATAGCGAGCCTAGCATCGTTCTACCACACTACAGCACATACAGTTAATTGGCAGAATATGTTGTGTGGAGAATAATTTATAGACTTCAAACAAACAAACAAACAAACAAACAAACAAACAAACAAACAAACAAACAGAAAACCCTTTATTTTAAACTGTAGTCTACATTTCTTTTTCAAATTTAGGCCATTTCAGAATTTTTAAACACTTGTAGAAAACATCATGAATAATAAGTATTAGACACTTAAGTTACAATATAATAGACTCTTAGAAAATGCTAGGTGGCCCAGAATTATCTATACTTTATTGCAAAGTATACTATTCTACAAACTACACACAATGTTGATGGACTATTTCCTCTCATTGTCATTCCCCCACGGGGCCAGAGCAATAAATTTGCCAGGAAACTAAAGAAAAAAGGACAGAAATAAACCTACATAATCTATAAAATACAAAATCTATTTTTGAATAACCTAGATTTGACTTTTGAATATTTTATTAAGAACTGGTTTTTAGATCTATTTCATTTGGAATGCCTTACCAATGACAATTTTGTAATAAGCCTTTCTCATTAAAAAAACACACACCTGTTTTATATGGGAAGGCTATAGTTTTTAGGCTTTTAAATCTGGATATATTTACCTTACACATTTCTTGTAAAGGGAACCCATGGGACAAGAAAAATAACCTTGTAATACTTCGTTTTAGCATTGCTAATTGAAGAGATATTTGAATGTCAGAACACAGAGATATTAGTTTTTTTTCCAGTTGTTTGTAAAAATGCCTCAGATATCTTTACAGCCCTTTAAAAATTGAAGTTTTCTTTCAGTCCCGTACTTCAATGTTATGAGATTTTTCAAATGCTTCTAAATCATTTGTTAGCATGCATTCTTCAGCATACTAAAGAACACCACTGTCTAACACATTCTTACTCATTTTATTAGTTAGAACTTCTTACATTGATAGTACAAAGTTAAACTTTTTCCAACTTGTGAATCACAAAAATCTTAATCATTAATTTTAAATCCAACATGTTAAAAGTTCTGCATATTTTAGATCCCAGTTATGCTCCAGATCATCCCTTTCTTTATATTTTGCCAGTGCCAAAATATATAATAATAATTCTGATAATCCTTACATATATTTAAATTTTCTCTTGGTGCTTAGGGGTTTTAACTTTTAAAATTAGTAACAACAGATGTATTTTTTTTTTTATTAGTTACGCTGTGAACGGTTTGTGGAGGAATTGGAGAGTTATGCTAAGCAGGCAGAAGAATTTTACTCATTTGGAGATCTTCAGGATATACAACGATACCTGAAAAAGGCTCAAATACTGAATGGAAAGTTGGATTTAGCAGCAGATAAGGTATATTTTAAAAATTCTAAAGGAGACAAATTATTGGGTTGTCAGAAAAGTCATGATGTATTCTATGTTTTGCGTTGCAAAAATGTGTCATGTCTTTTCCCACAACCCAATAGTTAAAAAGAAAGAGCATTGAATTTGCATTGCGTATTCACCTTTAAGAAATAGATTCAAATAAAAAAAGTTTAACTACATTTAATTAGAGAATAGTATAAATGGTACAAATAGATTTTATAGACGTGCTTCAAGGAGGAGCAGCATTGCTGTTTTCTGTTGGTAGTGATGACATTTCAGTGGCCTTCATCTGTTATTTGAAAGATAGAGTCATATCTCCATCTGCTTCTCAGTTTTTATTTTGTGTCATTTAAACATTTGCAGCATGTGATAGCACCTGGTTACTGTTTAGTTTTCTCATCTTCACAGAAGCCAGCTTAGGTTTGGAGGCTCTGTTTTTAAATTAGGCCCATTATTTTCTCCCATCAAGCCAGTTCCCGAGATTGCCATTTCAGAAATCAACTTCCTCATTAAAAGAAGCTGGAGGGAAAAAGCCATATCCTTTGCCATGTAAAATGCTTGACATTTTTAATTGTGTTTTTTGTAAAAAGGGGTCATATGAAAACAGACCGTATTATGATGCTCTACCATTTTTTTTATGTTGAAAGATTTTAATGTCAGATCAGGTAATTAAACAGTTTATGATAATCCCAAATATGCAGACACATGTTGAGATAAGAGAAATAAAACTTCGTAGATTTTTTTTAAAACAACACCACTGAAATTTTAAGTAACATGCATAATTTATATATGGACTCAAACATTTCAATTCTATAGACTTCTCTAAATTATTGACATCCTCACATATTTCACAACTAAACTAAGAATAAATTAATGCTTTCTTTGCTTCTTACCCTATTTTCTTCAAGACCCATCTCTGGTTGTACCTTCTCTACAGAAGCACCTGTGACCAAACTATTTCACAGCATGCTCTCTTATCTCTGAGTGATAGCATTTTTTTTTTTTGGTATAGGCTTTTATTTTATATTAAACAGCTACTGCTCTAAGATGTCTCTTCTTTTGTATTATATTATTATTGAATAAATGCTACTTAACTTTCTAGTATTTATCACTTGTCCTCTCAGCTAGATTACTAACTCCTTGGAGTTGGTACTTTGCAATAGAATATTTAAAAAAAATTTTTTCCACAGCACCTAACACAATGCTGTGTATACTAAAAATACATGAGTTCTTGTTACTTAATGAATGAAGCTATTTTCTCAGGGTATCTGGATGGGCAACGGCTTCTTTGTACATGTATCTTTATTTTATTGTGTTACATAACTTATCCAGTCATTGCTCTCTGGAAACTGTAATCAAAAAGACATAGGAAAAAGAAACTACTGCTCAGTTTTCTTGATAAGGCCTAATTTAAATGTAACCTTAGGGTTTAGTGAAGGTGTTGGGGGTCACATTTGATATAAATATTTTTCAAAACTTAATTTTGAATATCATTCATTTTCAGAATAATAAATTTAATACCTGTTCTTTCAGATTGAGCAGTTTAACGCTGAAGAGGAGGCATTTGGTTGGCTACTATCAGTATATCCTCAACGTAAAAAAATCCAAGATGGGTTGAACCCTTATCTTCGTCTCTATGAAACTGCTGTTGAATTTAGCAGTAAATATAAAGGATGGACAGAAGGACCGTACAACAAGGTGAATCCAGACCAAGTAGAAACAGATGTTGGCAATTACTGGAGAGGACTATATAAACTGGAGAAAACCTTCCATGATTCTCCAAATGCATTGTCAATGACAAAAAAAGTAAGAGCAAAGGTGGAAGATTTCAAGCAGCACATTCCTCTCATTCAAGTGATCTGTAATCCTGGTTTGCGCCCCAGGCACTGGGAGGCCATGTCCAACATTGTTGGTTACCCCCTGCAGCCAAGAGATGACTCTACCATCTTTTCTTTTATAGACATGAACCTGGAACCATATTTAGATAGATTTGAAACTATTAGTGAAGCAGCTAGCAAAGAATATTCTCTCGAAAAGGCCCTGGAGAAGATGATTAATGAGTGGGATACAATGGAGTTTGTCATTCTCTCTTATAGAGAATCTGGGACATTTATTTTGTCATCAGTTGATGAAATTCAGATGTTGTTGGATGACCACATTATTAAGACACAAACAATGAGAGGATCTCCTTTCATTAAGCCTTATGAAAAACAAATGAGGTAAAGTGAATTTATATGACAGTGTTTATACTATGTTACCAAAACCAAAACTTGTTTTGTTAACAAAATCATCACTTGTATGTAATGTACAGTTTTTCTTTTTGAAATTGATTTTGCATTTCATACTTAATATTTTAAATAGTTCATTGTAAGGAATGGTAACCTTCATTGCTTTTGAAAGAGTACTGATCCCTTTGCTATGATCTATAGTCATAACAAAGGTAGTGAACAGTCAGCATCCAGATATTTATTTGTATTGCCTGCCATCTGGTATTACATATCTGACTCTCAAAAATGATTTCGTGTCCATGAACAGTTTATAGAATGCATAAACTATAAAACTGAAGATAATATCATTTCCCATATACGAGGTCTGACAATTAAGTTTGCAAACTCATCCTAGAAAAAGTACTACATACCTCATTGCTGAATGTCACTACGGTCACTTTTGAAGCACTTCCCTTGGGAAGCTATGCACCGATGCCAGCGCCTAGTCCACCTTTCAAAGCAATTTTGGAACTTTGTCTGCAATGGCCATCAGAGCTGTTATCATATTACCCTTGATGTCCTGAGAAATAGAAGATAAATAGTTCTTTATCTTCAGGTAAAGAAGTCATTGGGGGCCAGATCAGGTGAATAGGGAGGGTGTTCCAATACAGTTATTTGTTTAATGGCTAAAAACTCCCCCACAGACAGTGCTGTGTGAGCTGCTGCATTGTCATGATGCAAGAGCCACGAATTGTGCAAAAAGTTCAGGTCATCTAGGTTTTTCACAGCATTTTCGGCACTTCCAAATAGTAAACTTGGTTAACTGTTTGTCCAGTTGGTACGAACTCATAAATATCAAAAAAGGTCAGCAACATCATTGCAATAAGTTCGCGAATTAATTGTCAGACCTCGTATACTAATTAGTTTGTTGTAGATGATCCCTAAAAGTCTTGCACTCTGTGCATGAAGGATAGCTAGATAAGTGCAAAACAATGAAACCATGATGCTAGTCTCGTGTTTTAGGGATTTGACACAGCCGATTAAATTAAACTCTTATCCTATCTGTTTTTTCAATTTCTATAATTTGTATTAAGCAGTTTATATTTTACCTTTAAAAAAAGAGTAAATCCAAGTCAGACTACCATCTTCTGTGTGAATTTGCATGGCAAGGGGAAGCTAACTGCTTGGTAGTACCTGCCTCTGATTATTGATGCCTTACCCTAACTTGAGCGCGCTCTGGCTCGGTCTCTCTGTGTGATCGCTCTGCCCCCTGCCCAGCTTGCTCCAACGTGCTCATCAAGACTCATTTTTTAAACACTCTGACAGTGGTATACCTAGATTCTATTTTTAAGGGCTATGCAAGAGGTCATTAGCCAGTGGGAACTTTTCTGCCCCAGATAGGGATTAGAGAAAAAAGAAGAGCACCAGAGGGAAGCAGAGGTGTCTCTTTCTTCTTGTGTAAAGAGATTAAACAAATTCATTGATAAGCATTGAAAGGGAAGTATTTTAGAAAGGCATTTGAAAATGCCTGATGAATTTTAGAACTTTTTACATTTCTTGGTTTTAACAATCTGAAATTATAGATCACCACTTATAAGTGATGTGTAATGTGTTATTATACACATAAAGCTATCCCATCTCTAAGTTCTGTTGCCATTAGCCAATCGTTCTTCTTTATGGCTATGTTATTTCTTAAAGCATAGTGGTTACAACTGTCTGGGTTCAAATCTGGCTGTATTGGTTATTAGTTGTGTGAACTTGAACCTGGTACTTACCTCTTTGTGTCTTACTTAGTCTCCCCATTAGTAAATATATGAGGATACAGCATATACATACCGAAACCTTAGAACTGTGCTTGTAAAATTGTTAGTTTATGGTGTAATTATAATATTTATTCTTGAAGAAATAAAGTCATTTTTGTTCTATATGTTTAGAAATGAATTGATAAACTATTATACTATCTCAAATGCTTCCTTCTCATGAATGCCACACTAATATATTTAAGATTATGTAGATTTTTCTTTAAATGCCAGTTACATCTTATGAATTTAAATATTTTGTTGTGGAAATATTGCCTTTATGGGCCCAATTAGAAAAAAAAAACAAGAATGTTAAAGGAAATGAGCCTTGGATATAACGACGTTTCCTAGGAAGTTCAAAGTGCTCTTCATTGAGAATGCTCCTACTGTCTCCAAAATCTCATTTCTCAATTTGTACCCTCTAACCATGGAATTGGATTGCAGAAAGGCTTATTGTTATGACATATGTGGAAACCAGCTCATTTACAGATAGGTATATCTTAACATGTACATCTATATAAGCATAAATGTTGATGCTATTATTTCAAAACAGATTTTATAGAACAAGTCTATGATTTGTCTTTGAATGAAAACAGGTGAACGGAAATTGGAATAAGAACATTGCATACAAGGTTGACAGTCTAGTCATGATTTTGAGTTTTGTCACCTGAAATGTTGCCTGGTTAGCTGTTGATAAGAGTCACTGTGTTTTGCTTCTCAGAGAATGGGAGGAGAAGCTCCTGCTGCTTCAGGAGATTCTGGATGAGTGGCTCAAGGTCCAAGCCACGTGGCTGTACTTGGAGCCCATTTTCAGCTCTCCGGACATTATGTCTCAAATGCCTGAGGAAGGCAGACGATTTACAACTGTGGATAAAACATGGAGAGATATAATGAAAAGTGTCATACAAGTAAGTAAAAATCCGAGAATGTGATTCTTTAGTTGAAATGACATGATTTTTGTTCTTAAAACGATCCAAATAGGCCATTGTCTTTTTCCCACATACATTCCCTTTTCAGATATTATTTTAGGCTTCTAGGAGCAAGGAATATCAAAAGCAAAATACATATTTTGCCCTGATTACTTCTTGAGGTGCAAATTGAATTTGAATTATTTAATGACATCTAGGTGTAGTCATGGTCCTTACCATGTGCTCTGATAGGAAGATGCTGTGGTCAGCACTTGGTGCCCCATCTAGTCTATGGCCCTTGGTTACGGGCTATACCACCGCTGACATGTGCTGTGATAGAAACCTGTCCGCATGCCAACCACTCCAGCAACGACTTTCTCTGTAGGGACCTCAAAAAAAAAAAAAAAGAGTTGCAAAGATAAATAGATCTAAAGAGCCCAATAAATACAAACAAAATGCAATCAATCAAGCAATCAATACACAAATACTGTGGAGGAGAACGTACAATTTAGGTTAAGGAGGGAATTTAATAAAAACCAGTAAAACTGCAAAAGGTATGATTTTTGTTCAATTTAAAAGATATTTACTGCCTGCAAAGCATGGTTTGTGTGTTTTTGAAAGTTAAGATTAAAATAGAAGAAATATTAATTATTAAATTATGTCATTAAATGAATATAAACTTCTTCACTGGTGTTTTGATCCAGTGCAATACTGTAAGGTAGGAAGAATATTATCTTCAAATTTTCCTACCCTAAAACAGAAATATGCATATTTTTCTTATTTAAACTTTGAAAGTTGTGATTATAATCCTAAACACTGATAATACTATATCAGCATCAACTATGATTTGATAGGGAAATATTCAGAAAGATGGACATGGGTTTGTTTATTTAATAAGTTTACTTCATTTTATATAATAATACATGAAACAAATTTCTGAATAAACCAAAATTTTATAAATCACACTGGTATTCCCTATTTAAAGAGCTTATTGGTAAGTCACTTTGTAACACATTTAATCATTTCTAATTGATTTTATAAATTTAGTCTTTCATATATTGTTTCCCTTCAACAGGGCAAAACCCTCATAACATATATTATATATTTTTTTATTTGGAAGGGGATGAAGTAGAATTTTTTTGTTGCCCCCAAAAAACAAATGGTAGATGTTTGTGTTCCCCTATTTAATATAATTTTTTTAAAAAATAATAATTTCTTATTTTGGTATTAGATTGAAATACTTTTCAAAATCCCACATTGCTAAGGCAATTTTATAGATTTTTCAATGTCCAGAAAAGAACAGTTGTGCTGGGACTAGTAAATAAAGGAGATAGATTTTCAATTCTATAAAACTGTTTAATTAAAAACAAAACAAAACAAAACATTACTTGCCCTCATTCTTGAATAAGCAGTTTTCTTTGGGTGACACCTTATTTATGTTTGCTATAAGACTTGATTATCTTTCTCAACTGGCTTTACATTTTCTTTTTCTCTATATGTTAGTATTCTGAACAGCTTTTGCCCATCTCTCTCAGACTTTGAAAATAAATGTAAATCCGTATTCTCTCAGGAAGGCTAATGAGATGACCAAAGTGGTAGAGGCCACTGGACTAAAGGCTTGGTACAAAAAGCCATAACTTTCAGTCTTAGGGATTTCTAATAAAGGTTCTGTTAGAACTATGCCAAAAGAAAAGACTCGGCGGTTAAAAGTAGATTGTAAATGATATTGTTAGTTTAACTGGCTTGATTGAGGTGTCTTCTTGGTTCCTTGCGGTATATATATGAAATAATTTTATGTTTTGGTACCTGTTCCCAACTGTGCCTGACCAAAGCTCCCTTCTCACTTGGTAAAGCTCCCTTATTGACCTTTCAATCTAATTCCAGAACTTTTGTCACTTTTGTTTATTAAGATATTTTTGCCTATGAGGAGTATCTGTACCTGTTTCAAAAACCTCAATCGCATGTTCTCAAAGCTCGTCTCCTCCCCCACAGAGCAGGTAAACCTGAGGATCCAGAGGTGAGGAGGTGAGGGGACTGCTCTTCCCCACCCCCACTGCTTCTGTCCTTCCTGTGTCCTTCCTGTGCTTGTCACCAGGTGCTGGGGCAGGAAGGTGAAGAGAAGGAGGGAGGAAGTTAGGGGGAGAGAGAGAGAGAGAGAGAGAGAGAGAGAGAGAGAGAGAGAGAGAGAGAGAGAGAGAACGAAAGTAAGAGGGCATTTACTGATGTATCTGACCCAACCAAAATGGCTGTTCCTTTTGTCAGTGGTCGTAAGATGGACAACCTTCTGTCAGCCGTGTCCATACACTGTGCCTTTGCTATTTGTCATCACAACTAGTCTAGCTTTTGAACAATTGTGAACATGTGAAGTTCACAGATGGGCTCAGTGTGGACAGGTAAAGACCCCAACACGCTCTGTCTGCTGAGGGACTTTATCTTGAATATCTCCCGTACATTTGGTCATCCCCTGTGAGATTTGGCTGCATCTTCAAGCTGACTTACCAGTGATGGCTTTTACCACTTTCTTCTCAAGTGTATCTTTGGCCCCACGCTACAGCAGTGTTTCACATATTTGTAGCTCTTAATTTCATCTAGGGTCTGCAGCAAGGTGGGATCCATCTTCTGTACCTCTTAGTAACCTCGAGCACAAGTCCCTTGCCCCCTCCTTCACCTGGTCACCCCACCATACCATGCTCTTTCTCCCAGGGTTCTTTTCTTGCTCTGATAGCATTGGAGTAGGTCAGTGCACCTGATGACAGACCGGACTTCCAGTTGGGAAGGAAGATGTTAGCCTCTTCTCTTTACAGTCACTTGAAAAATTTTCTTGGGACTCTCTTGTATGCCCCCCCCCCCTGCAAGATGAGGCCAGTTAATTGCCCACCAGTTGGAGGTGAAAGAACTGGATAATCTTCCGTCATGTATACTGCACATACCCAAACTTGACTTTTGACCTACACAAGTCTTCTTTTGTATTCCAGACAAGGTAGAAAAGGCACTTCTGAATTTCCCCCCAAGCCTTTTCCTCTTATAGTCTAACTTCATCTCAGTAAATATAAACACCGTTCGCCCTGTTGCTTAAGCCAAAAACATTATTTTTCTTTTTGCCTCTACTGTAGTAAATATGATCACATGGCACCAAGCATCTCACCTTTTTCTAGTGAACTGGAAACCTAAAAACCTCATCTCCCTGACACCTCAACATCTATGTTTCTGAAAGTGAATCAGATTGCGATGATTAGATGCACTGATTTGGGATTAGGAAGGGATAAGTGAAACAGCATCTGTCTTCTTGCCATTTTAGCTACTTTTGCTGTCAAGCTAGATCATGGACACGTGACTTTTTTTTTCTTTTCCAACAGGGCTTTAATGTCTGATCACCAATTTTATGGGTGTTTAGAGGTGGTGATGATGGTGTCTGATCACCAATTTTATGGGTGTTTAGAGGTGGTGATGATGGTGGCTTCCTGATCCCACTCTCTGATCCCTAGAATAACAGCCACCACGATGTGTTCTTGAATGCAGTCGTCCAGTGGTGGGATCCTTTTGTCCTGATTGGAGCCATGGCAGTAACCCTCCTGGAAAATCAGTTCCACAGTTTAGAATCTCTTCTGGAAGCCCAGGCCTTCCAGTGATTTTGTAGTCACTTAATTCCCTATGTTAAATCTCATTTTTGCTTGATGTACCTAGAAGGATTCTGCACTGAACTAAGACTAAAGATGCCAGAACTTCAAAGATGGGACCTAGTAATGTTTATATGACCCGTTGGGTTTTTAGGGTAGTGAAAAATCTAGTTACCATTTGAAAATGGAACACTGGTGTCACCTGGCATGCAGTGCAAAAATCACTTACCTAAATTATGCTCTGGTCTCCTGTAATGAAGAGTCTATTTTATAGGCCATGCTTTGGTGGACCAAATAATAGGTCAATATAGTAGGAATTTGAAATATGAGGGCTGTGAGATGGGCTGATTTTTTTTCTAAAACACTGGAGAAATTAAAGAAAGAAATTGGCATAATTCAGGGTTTAGATTCTCAAGACATGATCAGAGGACTAAGGAGCTTCAGTGATGGCCCTCGAAGAGCCTCTTATGTCTCATACAAATATGACATAACCAGAAACCAGTGAGTGATACAGTCTGATCCAATGGTTTGCCAAGTTACAGTGTATTTAATTCACAGCCTTGTCAGATTTATGTTAAAGGTAGTTTATTTATTGGTAAGAAGCGGGATGGTGATTTGATTGACTCTGGGTACCTTGATCCTCACACTGCAGACCTCCCCTTGTCAGAAGCCTGAGCAGTATGGAAGGCAGTGTACTGTAATGTCCATCTAAGGAGGAAAGAACCTAAGTTACATGCAGTCAAATGTATTGCTGTGCGTGCACTTACTAGAGATACTGGTTTCAATGTGCTAGTCAAGGAGATGTGAATGGTCCTGTTTATTTGCTTTTTCCACCAAAACCTGGCTTCCATAATGGCCTACCTAACTGAAGTTGAAATGCCAGAAAATCCTTGATTTGTCTTAAATAAATTAGAAATTGGTTTACAGATATTTCTGCAAAATATGCTTGCACCATCCAGAAATGGCCATTACAGCCCCACTTAGGGGTGGCCCAAAAGGGCAGGAGGAAGGTTATCCTTCTAGTGGGCGCACCTTCAATGAATATATTGTGTTTTTTAACCTTGCTTAGAAAGAGAGATGGTCAGAAGTGTGGTTCCACATTGATCATGGTCAGTAGTGAACAGTTTGGCTGCATATCAAGGACTTGGAAGCAACAAGATTGAAAGTGTGGTAACAAGGCTGTCTGGGACAGAGGTATAAAGGATCACAGAACAGACTATAATATGAGTATATTTGTGCTCCATGTAAACGTTTCATAAGGGATAGCACTGTAAAAAGAGACACTTGATAATATAGTTGGCCAGTTGACCTATTTTACGAATGTCACCTGGCATATGCCAGTGTATGCACAGTGAGCTATCAGTAATCATATTGAATAATATG